CTATGAGCTCCTGGGGAGGTAGTGAGTGCCCCGGCATGGGGAATGTGTAAGTAGAGGCTGGGGGTCCTCTGTGGGAGACGTCATAGTAAAGATTTAAGGACATAGTAAAGATTTATACTCGACAGTCTGAGTATATACCTGCACTGAGCTCTCAGAATGTTCTTCAGCCCCTTTTCACTTCGTGTGTGTGTGTGTGTGTGTGTGTGAGTGTGAGGTGTGATCACATGATGGGAAGAGAAGCCTTTGGAGAAAGTCTGCTCTGGATGAATCAGACTCCCACACTTGTTTGCTGTGTGACCCTAATCAAGTTGCTTTCTGTCTCTGAGCCCTTGGTGCTTCATCTATAAAATGGAGCTAATCACACATCCTCCCCAGGCTAATGAGAATGAAATGAACTAAAACATCTAACAGCAGTTTGTATTGGGTTGTTGGAAAAGTCATGACACATTTTTGCAATGAAAAACATAGAAAAAATATGTCATGACTTTTCCAACAACCCAATAGTTTCTGGAATAGGAGACCTGGAAAAGTATGTTTCTCTGTTACAGGAAACATACTTAAGGTAATTGAAATGGGGAAAATCTAGTATTTGCATAAGAGACTGAGCTTGATTTAAAATGTACCAAGGATTTTGGGGTCAGTTCCCCATTTAGCGCCGAACACAAATATGCCCAATTCAGGTCTCAGTGTGTGGTTTTCACTTACAGTGGCCCACCTAGGAGAACAGAGTGACAAGAACAAATGTCCATTTCTCCTATGATCCCGTTGATAAGTGTCACTCCTCAGGCAAGCCTGCTGCTTATGGCAACATGCTTGGAAGGAAGGGAGGTGGGCTTCGTTTCATTTCCTTGTCGGTTGGATTGGATTAGAAGTGCAAGAAGGCATTCAGACTTCCGCTTCCATATTTAACATACCTCTTAAGAAAAGTCAAGAAAAAAAGGCAGTTATGGTCAACCTGGGGCAGGAACACTGGTTTCTGGATGCATTCCTCAGACCAGTTAGGATCAGGTCTGGTTGCATGTGACGGATGGCTCCCACAATACACAGGGGCTTCAAATCTGGAAGTTGTTTCTCTCTCATGTGCAAAGTCTGGAAAGGGCCCCTGTAGGGCTGCACAGAGTAGTGAAGGACACAGGTCCCCCCAGCTTTCCCCTCAGAAAGGGTGCTGGGCTGTGCCCATGATCCTCATGGCCCTTCATCCCCATGGAGCGCCAGCCATCACATCTTCCTCCCAGGTTGGTAGGAGATGAAGGTGAAGGAGAGTGTGGGAGTCTTCCTTTAAGAACACTTTTCTCTTCGGAAGTTTCATGCACTTCTACTTCCACCTCTTTGGCTAAACTCAGCCAGCCTCACCCAGATGCAAGGGGGGCTGGGAAATGCATTCCTTCCACTGGATGCACGATGCATGGCAGCTCCTAGTAAATCCCCATGTGGCACTCGACTGGTTTCCTAGGCTGGCCAGAAATGACCAGACTCAGTGGCTTAAAACACCAGGAACTTATTTCTTCCCAGTTCTGGAGGCTGGACGTCCGAAATCAAGGGGCCGACAGGGCCGTGTTCCCTCTGAAGGCAGCCCGGAGGAATCCTTCCTGCCTCTCCCAGTTTCGGGGGGTGCCCAGCAACCCCCAGCGATCCTTGCTTGTNTGTGACTAAAAAATTATCCTTGCTTGTAAATCTCTGAATTGGAAGGGAAGTCAAAGTCTTGCCTTTCCTCTGCAACATCTTCAGATGTTTTTCCACCTCTAGGGAAGATCTCAAGAAAATAGCAGGAAAGACTCTGGGTGAGGCTGACGAGGGCCAGGACTGTGGGGGTAGCAGATAGGGAAGTTGGAGTGTGGGGACCCATGGAGGGGCTCAGTGGCTGTCAGGCACAAAGGTACATGGGGAGGTAACCCCAGCCCTGACCCTGACCCTGACGGGCTCTCTCGGCTGCAGGTGGGCAAACTGCGCGAGCGGCTGCAGGAGGCCAAGCTGGAGCGTGAGCAGGAGCAGCGGCGGCACACGGCCTACATCTCGTCCCTCAGGGCCAAGCTGCACGAGGAGAAGACCAAGGAGCTGCAGGCGCTGCGCGAGATGCTCATCCGGCAGCACGAGCAGGAGGCGGCGCGCACCGCCAAGATCAAGGAGGGAGAGCTGCAGCGGCTGCAGGCCACGCTGAACGTGCTGCGGGATGGCGCTGCCGACAAGGTCAAGACGGCGCTGCTGGCCGAGGCGCGCGAGGAGGCGCGCAAGACCTTCGACGGCGAGCGCCTCCGGCTGCAGCAGGAGATCCTGGAGCTGAAGGCGGCGCGCAAGCAGGCGGAGGAGGCGCTCAGCAACTGCATGCAGGCCGACAAGACCAAGGCGGCCGACCTGCGCGCAGCCTACCAGGAGCACCAGGACGAGGTGCATCGCATCAAGCGCGAGTGCGAGCGCGACATCCGCAGGCTGGTACGTGCTACGTGCTGCTACGTGCTGCTACGTGCTGCCCGCGCCCGTTCCTTCTCCGCTCGCATGCACGCACCCTTTCTTCCCACACGTGTGCATCCTTGCCTTCCCGCACACGTGCGGTAGACTCGGAGTTGGGAGGACCCACTGCGCTCCAGGCATCGCTCTGGGCACAGGGCTTCCGGCATAGTCCCTGCGCTCTTAGGTGTGGTAAGGAGGCTTGGGGTGGCAGGTCTCCTCTCACCAGATGCGTGAACCTGGTAGATCACCCGACTGCTCCGAAGCACAAGTTTCTCACCTATAAAATGAGGTTAGTTGATAATGAGCAGCGTCGATATAAGAAGGGACTGTGAGAGTATATCAGAGTGCTAGGCACTTACTTATTCATTGAATTCACAAGCCTGGAGCAGACTTACACCTCCAATAAGATGTGGTAGGTTGGGACAGGCCAGCCATTCTGTTACAACAACTAGAGAATATGGTGCAAGCAATCCTGTTTTTAAAGATTGGAGGGTTGTGGAAGCTGTGAGGTCCAGATGAACAAAAATTTCAAAGGGAAGGGAAAAGAGCCCATGTCAGGTGGGCTGACGACTGCCAGCCATTTTCCTCCTGGGGCATTTGCTGATCCTGGGTGGCGGCTGGGGGTGGGCTTCCCTCAGAGAGCCCACTGGAGGTTAGAGAGGTGAGTAGGACTTTTGGGCATTTCTCAGGGTTGGCATGAAAGATAGGTAACTAGAGATGCCCCCAACACTAGGCCAGTTTGCACCATAGATTATTCATCAGGTTCTGGGGTGATGGGGGAGGCAGTGAGCTGCGATGGAAAAGCAGCGTGAAACCTCCAGCGCTTAGGAGATGACGCTCGCCAGAGGGAGGGGGCTGGCAGCACACCCATTCCCACCTGCCCCTTGATACATCTGTCAGATTTTGAACCTGTGTAGTGCAGGAGGCTAAAAACCCAAGTAGCTAAGACTCTCAGATTCAACAACTAGCACACCAGTGATATTGATAAGAGATGCATCTTAATTATGAGGACACAGTTAGGTTGAACTTGAAGGTATGGAAAAATATATATCACAGAAACGCCAACCAAAAAACAGCTGCTCTGGTGGCATTCATGTCAAAGTTTAAGGCAAATAGTAACACTAAAGACTAGTAGGGACAATTCTTAATAATAAAGGGGCCAGTTCAGTAGGAAGGCACTTACTAACACAACTTCAAAACGTATAAAAGGAAAACATTATCAAAGCTAAAAGGAGAAATAGATAAATCCACAGTGTAGTTGGAGAATAGCACGCCTATCTCAGCAAGTGTTG